GAAAGGATAAGCAATTTATTTAACATCACACAGGTAGCAAGTGTTGTATGATATCAAAGCTGATTACAAAATAGCATTCTCATTGTCTTTGGAAAGTAGATGTTACTTCTGATATTCATTAACTGGTATTATTCACTCTTTTCTCCATTCACACTTAAAACTTTGTATAAAATGATTTATACAAACTTTTGTTGTTATTTATTCAACATATTTTTCTTATATATAATTATTTGTTTACATAATTAGATTACAGTGATATGCATGTGTAACTAATCTACTGTTTTGTTGTCCTCATTCTTCATATGGTGACTGACTGAAAGCACATTTTTATTTATTTATTCATTTGCAAGATAAGGTCTCACTCTGTTATCCAGCCTGGAATGCAGTAGCATCCTCATACCTCACTGTAACCTCAAGCTCCTAGGCTCCAGAGATCAGATCCCCCTGCCTCAGCCTCCCAAGTAGGTGGGACTACAGTAGGTGGGCTCATGCTACCACACCAGATAGATTTTTTTTTTTTTGGTATGGACAAGGTCCCCCTATTGCCCAGGCTGGTCTTGAACTCCTGGCCTTAAGCAATCCTCCTGCCTCTGTCTCCCAAAGTACTAGGAGTATAGGCATTAGCCACCAAGCCTGGCCTCAAGCACACTCTAAGTGCATTATATTGAAAACATCAAAGACATCTCTAAAGTGATGAAGATAAGTTTAGATAGTTTTTTCTGGATTTCCCAGAGGAGAAAACATAATTTGAAACAGTATCTGTTTAATTAGGTTACTTAAATGATTCAGCCCCATTTGTTAAATGGACTTTAAATAAATCTCCTATAAGTCATGCAAAAACAGGCACACACAGAGTCTCTCCTAGCATACACGAGAAAACATAATTTTGTTAGAATCACACACCCTTCAGTGGTTTCAGTGATTTTTGCTTCCTGGTTGGAAGGTCAAGGTCTTCCTTTCAATTACATGGAGTTTGGTTAAGGACAATTGTATAGTCAAATCATAAATGTTTGAGGTGCCCGTTAGTCATAGAGAAAATTTAACCCACAAAGATAATCCCCAAATAAGCCATTTTAAAAACTGCTATTGGAAATAGGCAACTAAGGTCCAAAATTGCAGTTTGAGAAGTCAAAATATTTGCTTGTTAATATCATCTTAGGAAAGACATTTCTCTAACCTGTTTACACAGAAGGCACAATTCTTATCACAAATAAAGGAATATAGGTAGGGTCATTTAAAGAGGCATGTGTGACAGAGTCACTGTGTCCAGGACTTGGAAAAACAAACCCCTATTACCTCAGACTCTTTCAGGAGAGTTAAGATAAGATTGCTTCCTACAACACATTTATTTGTTTAGAAATTTGTGTGTGTGTGTTTATTGTGATTTTTGTATTTTCCTTTATACAACACATCAACTTGATCCTGAGATTAGATTAAGGCACGGGACAAATAGGAGCCTAGGGCCTCCTCAGTATATAGTATCATCTAAAAATATGTTCCAATGTAAACATGCTGTGTGACTGCTGATCAGAGGGCCCAGGAGAGACCTCTAAGGTGACTCCTATTGGGAGGACTATCACCAACCATCTGCTCAAAGTTCTTCCTTGATGGAAAAACCACTAGAAGTCAGTAGACCTTCACTCCTCCCCTGCCATGTCTTTCTCCCCATTAAGTCATTTAAAAGTTAACAATCCAAAGGCATCAAGAGTATAACCACAGCATAAAGGAACCGAGGTTCAGCAGTCTAAAGTACAAGCCTTCGCCAGCACTCCATGGGTCCCTTTTCACCAAGAACTTCTAAAGAATTTTCCACCCTACCATTACTTTCAATACCCACACTACTTCTTTCTGAAGTGCATTACTGGCTACCTTGGAATAGCAATTTAATACTTCTACAGAATGAGGCTATTTAAAAAGTACAGTCATTTTACTCTGAAGCTATTAAACCAACATGTTTTTGCTTTCTTTGACTGCTTTTATTGCGAACAGTATAAATGGTTTTCTGTATTAACTACATTATTCATATCATTAACTTGTTTTGTTTTTGTTTTTGTTTTTTTGAATTTATATGCACTTTCTAAAGAGGAGAAACAGTGTGTCAGGATTTTAACCAGCTCTTTTCAACTCTATGGGGTTTACCAGTAAAACAGAGAAAATGGTTGGCTGCTGTTTAAGGTGAACATTTATCTTTCTTTCAGGACAAATAAAGTAACTTTGATTTTGGGGGGCATTGATGTTCATTATGATGAAATTATGGAATTTTGTGCTTCAGCATCTAAAGTGGCTATGGGCAAAGTGGAGGACAAACAGAAACAGAAAGCTGTTCAAAAATTCCTATTTAAAATTTAAGACTGTTTTAGGGTTGCACCCCAGCGGCTAGAAAAAATATTATATAGTGACTACCTTTCCAACTGCAGCAGTATTTTAGTGCACACTCCTTTACTTTAAAACAGAGCTGAACTTTAGACCTATTATAAAGAAAATAGCAAAGTATTAAGGAGATGCACTAAGAGAAAGAGATGATGAAACAAATATATTTTTGCATCAAAAGTCTCAGCTCTGCATTTTCCACACCTTAGAAAGAGTTTGACAATAAAAGGCAGGTATCATCACCCCAAGGCTATAGGAAAAACTAGCAAATGCCACCCTCTGTTAATGCATTGGATGGGGTCTAAATGTGCAAAATACCATTTGCTTCACATGCAGGATCACTGACTAAGAAACTAAGTTAACAGAAGTCTTTGGCTAGAAAACCCACTGTCACAGGTGGCCATGGCTGAGCTACACAGCTTTTCCCAGCAGGACAATAAGCTTACCCCACTAATGCAACTGTTCTTGCAAAGCTGTCAGTTTAGGTTTTAATCTGCACATTAACCATGTGCTTACAAGAACTGCTAAATATCGTAAAGAGAACATCTTTTTATTTGAGTTCTTTAAAACCTTCTCTTCTTGCAAAATGACACATTTGTAGTACCACATTCATTTCCAAATTTGTTTACTGTACAAGTGTTATGGGTATCCAGTAAAATAAAAAGTTACAGAGTAATCACACTAACAGGACAGGCTACTGATGATGAAGGCTTTGCTTATTCAAGTTCAGCATATTTTTCTAATAAAACTTAAAGACCAGTCACAGTTTTCACGTATAACCAACACTGCAGAAGTTTTGTACCTAAAGTGAACTAGGAAAGACTATTCTAGTTTTTGTCATGATAAACGTGTGGAGTATTTTTAAAGAAATTTTTCCATATCAAAATTAGCACTTTAATAAAAGAGAAATATGATGGCTCTTTGTCCTTGTATTATATAACTGACATTTAAACTTTGGAAACTAGAAACTATAGAGCTTTTCCAGTCAAATTATAGCATCCTTAAAAAGCAAATGTACTTTTGGAACTCTAGAGATTTTCACTGTCTTTAAAGCCACTATAGATTGGGTTTCCATTGTATAAATATTTACTATTTTATGCATGTGTTGATGAGCATCTACTTATCAGAACTTTGAAAATTTCCTTTCTCTAGAAGACTCTACAAGTAATTATTAAATTACAACATAATTGTGAGTGGCAAGAATTTAAAGAATAACTTACGAATAATTTGCATTGATCTGTTTAGAGCTAACCACAAATATTAAAATGGACTCTGTATTTGGAGCAAGTTATTATAATATTGGAAGAAAACTGATTTTCATCTGTATTTTGTAAACTGAAGTGATAAGCAAACCTTAAAAGACAGAATAAAACTCACATTCCATTTTAATCTGGGGCAGTCACTTGCCCTTTTTCTGCAAGAAAAGACTAAATTCATGAATTATTGGGGCTAAGTGAAACAGTTCCTACACTGAAAGGAAAGTTTGGTTATACAGGCCTGAAAGAGGCTGCGTAGACTGGGAATGGAATCAAGAATTTTACAGTCTTAATTTTTAAGAGATAGTGAGTTTTTTTTCATCTTTTTTCATCCTTTTCCATTTCATAATTATATACAATCCTATATCCCCACTTTATTTTCCATCAAATGCACAATAAGATAATGTTTCTATTCATGTAGATTTGAAAGGATCCTCATCCTGTGTGGGTTATTTTATTTTATAGTAGCCAAGGGAAAGAGGTTGCTGCCAATATGATGCTAAGGGCATGCAGAATAAAGACTCAGTCCTGGGCAATGAAACAGTCCACCTTTGTACTGCGCTTGTAGACTAACAAAGCAAACCCATCACCAACTTTGGGACTTGATCAACAGAGGGGAGTCACAAAACTCTTCTCAATCACTGCATTTTAAATCTCCACTAAAAATAGCCCCTCTGTAGTGAGGCTTATACTCCCATCCATGGCCAGTGATGGAGTACAGTACTTACTTGTTTCTGACTAAGGTCTCGGCATCAGCACTCTGAGAGTGTCTTCTAACTTTTAATCGCTTTCTGTGTTGTTTAGTTAGTTAGACCCCTTCTCAAGACAGCCAAATAAAAACGCCTATCACTGAGCCCACCCAACGCATTAAAACAGTCCATTTAGGGAGTCTGCGAACTTTTATACAAGTCTTAGGATCTTCTGGGATTAATCTGTTTTCTCTGGTTCCCTCTACCTTAAAATCAGACACACATGGGGGAGGGGAGAAGCTCTACTACGCTAGAGACAACTCCAGTGTAATACACTGCCTGGTGGCAGTTCCCTCCTTGTCTCTCTATTTTGTTCTATTACCGCGTGTTATCTATTCGCTGCTTCTAGGGCTGGAGGGAAAAATGTCTTTTTCCCCCTCTAAAGGGGAAGCTCTCGGTCTCTTGGCTGGAAGCAATCCTGAGACTTTCTCCAAGGGGCTGAAATAACTAGAAAAGGGCTTGCTCTCCCGGAAGGATTTCAGAGCCCACATCAAAGACAGACCTTCTTACTTAGGCGGGAGATGCAAACAGCTGAAGTGTCTTGGCCCGCACTGGTGACCCACAGTAGGACCCACCTCGCGCGGCAGCGCCCCTGGGCTCAGGTCACACACGCTCCTGGACTCACCTGGTGCTGAGGACCAGTGCCGGCAGCAGAGGCAGCAAGTAGTGCACTGGGCTGAATTTCATGCTGTCGCCTGCCGGGGTCCTCCTTCCCTCGCTGCCTTCTCTCTTTCGCCTCTTCGGGGTCCTGTCGCTCCTCGGTGCCCGGCTCGGTTCCCAGCCAGCGGTGATCACTCTCGGGCGGTGGAGAGACGGAGACGGACAAACGGACGGACGGACGCCTCTCTTGAAGGCAGGAGCTGGGAGCGGGGAGTATCTTCAGGAGTGATGTCACCGGCGAGGCGAGCCCTGCCCGGGATTGTTTGGAGCCGCCGCTCCGGAGCCCGGAGGGCGCGTTGTCACTCGCGCTGGAGGCGGCGCGGGGAGAGGGAGGGGTGCCCGGCGCTCGCCCTGCGCCCTCCGATCTGCGCTCTGGTCACTCGGGCGAGCACCGGCAAGGAGCAGATCATTTATTCGCGCTTCTCCCCAGGATGGCGAGGGGAGGGGCGGGGAAGAGGAGAAGTCTAATCTGCCAATAATTGCACTTGCATCCTCTGCGGGAGGTGAGACCGAATGCACTGGGAAAGACCATCAGACTCTGAGAGTCAGAGTCTTAGGCAGGTGTCCCTCACCTGATTAAACGGTGTTTGGAAGGACGTCGCTCTGGAGAGAGTGTTTAAATATTGTTCCAGTTAGAAATGCATAACGATTTGCTCGATACAGATGGAAGGAAGCAGGAGTAAGTGGCGTCCAGAAATGCACCCTGAGCCCATAATGCCATTGCAAGCTTCTTAACCCGTAAATGTCGACCACAAAGAACATTTCGGGACCTTTAAGACGTCTGCTGCTTCTGCGTTTTGAAGATTTCCGATCTTCCTCTGATTTCAATGCCTGCTTGTACCAGCAGCTGGCAATGGGGGGTGGACCTGATGGCCCAAGTTCACGCACCTGAAGGAGTCCTTTTCCTCAGGTGAGACTCATCAAGGAGACATAACTGGAAAATCCATTAAAATGTTAACAGTAATTAACTCAACGTGATAGTATTGGAAAGCAGAAGATTTTTATGTGTCATTTTGATTTCTATGTTTTCCAAATGTTTTATAAAGAACATCCAATGTTTAATAAGCTTTATTTAGAAAATTTAGTTATAAAAATTAAATAGTGAAACTATAATACAAAATACCATTTTCCAGTTAGGGTAAACAGAACCACTTCATCTACTGAGATACTCAGTTCTCAAATCTTTACAACATAATATTTTGCTGGAGATATATATATATATAATATATAATTATTTATGAAGCACATTTTATACATTAATCAGATCTTGTAATTTTTCATACATTTAATCTGATCCTGACAAGAGCCATCATGGTGAAATAGAAATTAATATTATCATTATTACAGACTTTTTTTAAACAAAGAACTTCTTATATTAATTTCTAAGAGAATCCTACTATTGCCTTGTACATCACACCTACCACACCTAACCCAGTGTTTGACACAAAGTTGGTGTTCAGTAAAGGCTGAGGTGCACCAAAGATCCAAAAGGCAATGGACATCTAGTGTCCAGGAATTCCCATCCAAAGGGTTCAGGTCATATTCCACTTTTTTCAGGGGAAAGCTATTTGCAGTAAGATTCAGATGAAGTATCCTCTTTAATCTCATTTTGAAGACATTATTTGTAGGAAAAATGCATTTGTTATAAACCTTTACAGGATGCAAATTTAAAGAGTAAATCACCTATTTTTGAGTGGGGTTGAAGTTTAAGACATTCATAACTGAACACATTCGTTTTAAAACCTCAGGCTGCTAATATAGATGTATAATAACTTTTGCAAAGTGAGTATCAGACCCTAGAGCAATAGAATAGTAAGATACACAACAGATATAAGTAGGTATATACAAATCAACTCACTTCTGGATGGCATGCCATTTACAAAGAAAAAAATGACACCACTCTTTGCTGAAATAGAACTCAACTCCAAGGGAAAATATAAACTCTAGTTTGCTTCTACCAGAGTTTTCTAACAATAGATTTCCTGCTCACTTTGAAGGAGATCATTTGAGTTGTATATTCAACAAAGACATATGGCACATGGTAATAAAAAATGTGTATACCAGAAAATAACATTCATATTTGTAGAACACATTTTTGTTTACATAAAAAGTTTGCATTGATTATCTTATGTCCTAATCATAGGAACCAAGTGTGGTAGTCATTTCTATGATTTTTCTCTTTTGCAGTTAAGGTGACAAATTCAAAGTGGTTAAGTTACTTGCTCAAGGTCACCCATTAATTTATATAGTGGTGATGACATTCAAATTCAGTCTGTATCACTTCAAAATATATGCTTTATTGAAGAAAAAATATATACCTATTAAAAAAAGACTTTCCCCAAGCTAAATTTTATTACTTTCTTCCAGATATAAAAGAACAATAATAAAACTCCCTTAGAATATTAACCAAGAAAAAGAAGTATTGGAATGAACTTTGTTTAGAAATGTGTCTCAGAGTTCTGTTGTGCCTCTGTATTGGACACCTTTATAGAACCACAAGGTTTGTTAGCATTCTTGCTTTTTCTGCAAGAAAAAATATATCTAACTTAGAGGGGCATGAGAGCTTTAGGGAAGCACATGTTGGAAGGTGAGCATAAGTGAGATTTTGGAAACGTCTACAGGTTTAGAGAACTGAAGTATTATTATGAATTCAAGTCCAGATGTGCCTTTCAGAAGTCTTTTTTTCTTGGGGAATTATAGGACCATGTGACATTCTGTCTCCCATGACATTCTGTCCACACTCACAGGAAAACTCAAATCCAGAATTGATTTTATGGCTTCAGAGCATTTATATATGAATTTTAAAGATGCAGTAGTACAGACAACAGATTCACTTAACTGAAAACACTTGTCCTATGCGGAGTCCTAACATTAATTCAGCAAAAATTGTTTGTAACTATACTCAAGTCTCATAAAACAAACAAAAAAATTTCACAAAAACAAGAAAGCATATCCAGTTGTGCTGAATCTCCATGAAGTGCTGGGGTTGGGAGGTGTAGAAGCTGTTTTTTCAAAAGCATTTACTCAATTTAATTCAGGTACCAAAACTATACCATTTTAAAGTGTATAATTCAGTGTTTTTATACATACTCACAAGGTTATGAAATCATCACCATTATATAATTCCAGAATATATTCATCACCCCCCAAAGAAACCCTGCACTCTCCGAGCATCCACTTCCCACTACCTTCTTCACCCCTTCTCCCCATACCTGGCAAACACTAATCTAATTTCTGTCTTTATGGATTACTCTATTCTTGACCATTTATATAAATTGAATCATACTCTCTATGAGTTTATGTGACTGGTTTCTTTCACATCTATGTTTCAAGGTTAATCCATGTTATAGCATATATCAGTACTTCATTCCTTTTTATTGCTGAATAGTGTTTCATTGTATGGATATACCACATTTGTTTATTCATTAATCAACTGATAGATATTTGGCTGTTTCCATGGTTTAGTTATTATGAATAATGCTACCGTGAACATTCCTATAAAAGCTGCATGAACATCTGTTTTCAATTCTCTTGGATATATACTTAGAAGTAGAATTCCTGGGTCATATGGTAACTCGATGTTTAATATTTTAAGAAAATTCCAAATTTTTTTCCAAAATAGCTATACCATTTTATATTTCCACCAGTAATACATGAAGGCATCAATTTATCTACAAACTTGATAACACTTGTTATTTTCTGTTATTATTTATTTAAGCCATCCTAGGTGATGTGAAGTACTATGTCATTGTCGTTTTGATTTGAGTTTACCAGTTAGTTAATCATACTGAGCATTTTTTTATTGTGCTTATTGGCCATTCATATGCATTTTTGGAGATATATTCATTTAAATCCTTTGCCTATTTTATGTGGTTTGAGTTTTATTTTTGAGTTGTAAGAGTTCTATATATTTCTTTGACACAATTCCTTTTTAGATATATGATTTACAAATGTTTCCTAATCCATGATTTGTCTTTTCACCTTCCTGATGGTGTCATTTGCAACGCAAAAGTTTTTAATTTTGATAAGTCCAACTTACCTATTTATTTTTCTTTTTTAACTATGCCCTTGATGCTGTATCTACAAAAGCTTTACCTCATCCAATATCAAGAAAATTTATGCTGATGTTTTATTCTAGGATTTTTATTGTTTTAGATCTTAAAGATACGTCTGTAGTCCAATTTTTATATGTTCATGAGGTAGGGATTCAAATTCATTTCTTTACATGGGGTATAGCATTGTCTTGCATCATTTGTTGAAGAGGTTATTTTCCCCTAATTTAATAGCTCTGCTATCTTTTTTCTCTTACAGTAATACCTTTTACTTATTTCTGGATTTCCTTTTCTATTCTCATATTCTAAACTCTGATATCTCCTAGAGTTTCACTGTTGATGCTCCTCTTTTAAAATTCTATATTTTTCCCAAGTTAAACTTATCATTTTTTATGATTTTTACAAACTCCAATATGTTATAAATCTCAAAATTTATCTCCAGCCTAGACTTCTTTATTGAGCCATTACCTAGGTTTCTGTGGATATCTCAAAGTCAAATCCAATCACATTGAACTCTTTTTCATCCTTCCCCTGTCTGATTCTCTTTCTGTATATTTACTTATACCACCATAAACTCAATCACCCAAGTTATAAACCCGAGAGTCATCCATCCTTAATCACAGCTGGATTTTCCTTAAGTCCATTCCACTTGCATAATCTCTATAAACTGCCAATTTCTTTATTACCTTAGAGCTCCTAGGAATTTACCTTCAAATAATATATTCAATACATGCTTATTTTTTTTTAACTTTCATGCTGTACTGTAAACTTAGTAATTAATGAAAGTTTTCTCTCGATAGGTCTTTAAAATTTTTGTTATTGCTCTTCTAGAAGTGTTATCTCACTCAACCTACCTGAATGGCTACCTTAATCATTTAGGACACATCAAGGACTTAGCTTCTTTCTATAATGCTTTCTCTAGTTCATCTGCCACCACAATTTTAGTGAAATCTTCCTTTTCTGAGTCTCAACATATGGTAGATTGCCTTGATATTGCACTTATAATATAATATTGTAATTATATTTTTATTTTCCTCACCATACTGTGAATATGTTAAGAATAGGAGGGGGACACTTCTCTCTTTCTTTTGTGATAAGGAAGGTAAAGGTATTATACAAAATTTTACTTTTATAAACATATTTTCTGGGCCAATTACTAATCTTATTCAGATATCTGTAGATCTGGTCATTAAAATAAAAATATATGATTTACATGGTTTATTAAAAATTTGTTTCCTATTTTCATACTCAGTGTTTTATCATTGCTAATTAAAACTATCTGCAAAGTAATTTCCTCTAATAAGGTTGTCTATTTTTTAAAAAGCCAACTGCTTCCTAAAAAAGAGAAATATAAGGCTAATATCAGTGTCTGTACATCATACAAAAACAAAGCAAAAAACAACAAATGAAAAAGCAACAAAAAAGCTAAACCCGATACCTCTAGTTCCTTTTTATTTTAATTGTTATTTATACATAATAATTGCACATTTAGAGGGTGCAAGTTATATCATTAAGGGGTGCATGTGATATTTTTATAACAAGCATACAATGTTTCATAATCAAATCAGGGTAATAAGGATATCCATCACCTCAAACATTTATCATTTCTTTGTATTGGGAACATTCCAAATCTTCTCTTCTAACTATCTTGGAATATGCAATAAATTATTGTTATCTTAGCCCTATTGTGCTATCAAATACTATAACTTATTCTGTCTACTTCACTAGATTTTTTACA